GTTTAGGGGCCTTCCCAGAGACTCCAAGGCCCTTAAGTTAAGGAATGCTCCTGAAATTCTGGTAGGAGCCGCATTATGATAGATGTGACATAACGTATCTTCCTTCGTTATGGGTTTTGGGTTACCCTAACACCTATAATATGCGCCGAATAGCCATGCCGAGTATAGCATGATAAACTCTAAAATGTTCTGTTTTTGTATGATTTGATACAGTATAAGGAAGTATGGAGAGCCGTTTTGGGTGGTTCTCTGAAAAACCTAAGCTCTTACTTACGGACTTAGGATTGTTTCGTGCGGTTGATGTAGAGGCCTCGAGAATGAGAACAGGGCTTTGCTTAGGGGTACTTAGAAACATTTTTTAATCTTTGGCTATTATAAACCCTAAGAAGCAGCTAAAATTAAAATTTTTGCTAGGGGTCTAAGTTCAGTATAGTTTGGGGTCTTTGTAGATTCGTTGGGGCTTCTGGGTGGTTTTGTTCTAGAACCTCGACGCATACATGGCTCTATAATAAAGGATGTTCGGTGTGAGTTCGGTAGCATTTCATGACAAGTATTGAGAGGACTTCAGCATTGTGTGCTGGGTTTTCTTAACGGTTGGTTGGGGTGTAGGACTTTGGCCGTGCAGAGAGAGGCTCACCGAAGGGCTTTCCTATCGGGTTGTGAAAGAGTGCTACAGGCAGAGACTTGAATTCAACTTGATACTTCAAGCCATGAGAAGAAGCCCTATGTCCCTATGTTGCGGAGTGGAGGCCTCGCCCCATCCAGAAGCAGCAATAGCAGCAGTATTAGGGCTAGGGAAGCAGGAGGTGTACTCCACCCCCTCCCCCAACCCCCTCCTCCTCCGCCTCCTCCGCCTACTCCTACTCCTCCTACTCCGCCTACTGCCACTGCTACTACCACCACCAATAAAAGGTCTTCGCATATTCGTTGTTCACATTCCCGTAATGGGCTTCAGCACATTCGGTTCACGGACTTTTGCTTTGGAGTTAGGGTTTAAGCTGTGGCTTTAACATACGTTTTCCAGCGGTTTTACACTGTTGATACAGAAAGAAGCTTGGGTGTAGAGTTTAAGGAGATTGGTGGGTTTAAGGAGTTGCAATATAAGGGTAACACTATTCTATAGGACTTCTTCTTCTTCTATGTATTCAAGCTTCTTTCTGCGGGCCCTTCAGAGCCATCGAAACCTTCTCCAGACCGTGGGCTCATCCAGAGCAGAGCTCCAACAAGACTTCGATGGCTTCAGGAAGTCCCATTTGCAGGGACCCTTAGGGTTTAGGGTTTACGGTTTAGGGGTTGGGGACTCTACTTCCTCGAACTGATCTTATTAAGTGCTTATTGCTGGTATTCGGGCCCCCCACCCCCCTAAGGGTCCCCATGATAAGCCAGCCTTGAAATCATTGGTCGTTGTCCCCGTTGGCATGCTGAGCAAGGGGAGCGACCTATCAGCGAAGCAAGACGGAAGCAGTAGACATACATGTCCTGTAGATGACAATGTGTTCAAAGCCTGATTTTGAAGGTTTGTGACTGTGTGGCTTCTGGCCACTTGGAGAAGAGATGTTTGAGCATTTCAGATAAGATCGGGGCCATAGAATTACCTACACTATTTTGGAGGTTCATGATTATGCTTATACTCTCAAGGATCCAAAAGCCCTATTCTAATAACTAAGGCCCCGCCGCGCTTGCAAGACCCGCTCAGGCTTCCTCTTCGAAAGGTGCCGCTCGCGCGCAACGCTGCGTGCAGCGCCGACGACGAAGAATCGAGGGAGGAGGTTGCGGCTCGGCAGATGTGGGGTTTGGGGGGGCTCCTTCTTCTAATTGTACTATAAAGGATCCCAACACCCTATTCTAGTTATTCAGGCCCCTACATTAGGGTTTTGGGGATGTGGGGTTTGGACTAAGTCTGGGTTGCTGCTCATATAATACTACGTATCTATGCTATTTTGGGGGGGTCCTTCTTCTAACTATGCTATAAAAGATCCCAAGACCCTATTCAGTGCAGGGTCCATGGTGTTGTTCCGTTCCGTTTCTGGTTCAGGTGCCGGGCCTGTCGGGTCTCTGCAAGTTCTTGGGGTGTGCGTTGGTTCCTTGTTTGCGTGGTCCAGCCCCGGGGCCCCAACCGCTAATATTGCAACTCCGACACCCTATTGTAAGCCCCGAAACTGTAACAGCCTGAAACAGCTCAGGAAAGAATGAGGATGCAGTTGGAAGAGGCTCAGCAGCGACTGCGACTGAGGGCGCAGCCGAATCGGGCAGAGGAGTGCTTGCCAAGTCCTGGCCCAAACGCTGTGACGCCAGATGCTCTGCCGAAGGACGCGGATTCGGGGGAGCAAGAGGAGATGCAGGGAGCTACTGAGGAGGGACCTCGGGAAGAGCCGGGGTCCAAAGCCGCTCAGAGCTCTGGTGTAGTGTCCCAGGGCACACAGACAGCAGCTGAAGCCCCAGATTCCGCGGAAGAGAGAGGAAAGGCTGCGAGGGCACCGGAAGCTTCTGAGTGCCTGGAGTTGGCTCTGCTCCCCAAGAGCCAGGGAGGAGATGCCTCTGAGCAGCCGACGAAAGAAAGCGCCCAAACTGGCATCGAAAAGGAGGCTTAGCAGCTGAATGAGTACACTTTAAACTCTTTAGGCTAATATGATCCCTTTATAGAAGTGAAAATGTACACTTTTTTGTGCTTATGAACTCAGCAACCAAGGAGGAGGAGCACAAGGGCAAGGAAGGAGAGGAGGAGGAGAGGGAGGATGAAGGGGGCGGGGAAGAGACCCAGCGAGGTTTACTTGCAGTACAGGATCGAGGCAGTCTCACATCAGAGGATCCATGTCGAACTCCTTCAGGGAAAGCCTTAGGGCCGCTTCCCATGCCAGAGCAAGACGTGGAGAACAGCTCGCTTCACCCGGAAACCGTGGAGGCGACTTGACTTCAGCAAAGCAGAAGCTTGCTTTGAGCTTTTCGGGTTTAGATTCCTGATGGTGATATGGATGATGACGGTGTTGATGAGGGTTTTGGAAAGGACCGCCTTTGTGGACCCCTGAAGTCTTGGACCCTGATTCTCACACGCAGGAGATCCCATGACCCCAATACTTAGCCCAACAGCCGCAGAGGACCGGGAAGCTCTGATTCCAGCAGACGCCGATGGGAGCGAGCCTTGCCGGGGATTCTAGGTAGTAGAATTAGGGGTACCCCTTAAAGGGTCCCCCTTCTGAACCCTACTTTTGGCTCTCTTAAAAGGGACCTTATTGAGAGGGTCTATATCCCCAAGGGTCCCCCTAATCCTAGCTCCCAGATTCACTCCAGGCTTCAGGGCTTGCTTTGAACCTTCAATTTGGAACAGCAACGGTAAGTGCCGGGGCCTCAGTCTGCGGGCTCTCAGAATCAACATAAACAAAGCCAATATAATACAAGACAGTTATGATAGAACGGAAGATGTTCTTCAAAGACTGAGGACGACGCTTTGGAAGAGCTTGATGCGCGGAGCTCAGGACCGCAGAAAGAGGAATTGCTGAACCTACCCTTCAATCTCTGGGAGAATCTAGAAATCCCTGTACTGATCTACCTTGAAGACCCTGCCGAAATTCTGGGTGCCTGGAGGATGAGGATTCTTGGGCAGAAAGTCTATGAATAAGAACTTAAGGACTTTCTCTAGCGTTCCTTTAACGTTCCTTTGAAGAGTTCCTCTAAGGCTGTCTAAGAGTAAGGTTTCATGTAGGCTTAAGGCTGAGGAAGGGTTGTTGGGATGGGGTTGAGGGTTGAGGGTTCAGTGGGATAGGGGTTAGGGTTTCGGGTTTAGTCTACGGGCTTATGCGTGTAGGGGTTAGGGTTTCGGGTTTAAGGTGGAGGGTTTAGTGGGTTGAACTGAGTTTGTAGCATACTGCATGCATAGTATACGATACTTAGGCCACTAGGCTTCCTAGTTGATGCCTGACCCAACAACTCAGACTCATGCTTGTTTTCTAGAGCGGTAGGAATCCATCAGCCAAGGGGCTTGCATGTTACCTACTGAAGCTACCGGGCTACGAACGACTCACTGGAATCTACATCATCGTTTAGGGGCTTGCGATAGGAATTCGGACTCCAGCAGACCTAGTGAGAAACAAACCCTAAAGACCCTTACCCCGCTTTGTACACGACCCCCCGCTGCGCAAAAGTCTTACGGATCCACACACTGGAAAATGCGTTTCACGATTGCAGCAGTCAATGCGTAGGTGCCCAAGCCTGGAATCTGTGAAACCCTATAAACGCCACAAGCCTCCTACATAAAAGAAACCTTTTTTGCAAAAAGCATATACTTAAAAGATACGTGTTTTGTATGTAATTATGTGTATGTAAATAAGTAGATAGATAGATAGATAGATAGATAAATAGATAAATAGAGACATACAAATATAGATGTAGGTGTCGATACTGGCATTAACATTGATACTGATACTGATACTGGCATTGACATACATATACCCAGTCTAATTGAGGTTTCGGTTCTTTGGCAGTTTCTTTGCCCTTGATTCCCAGGTCTCCGACGAGCGCCTGCAGCAGTGGCTTCGGGATCCTTGTCGGCAGTTTGGGCTTTGGGATTAGGGTTTACCTGTGGCCGAAAAGACCTACCTTTGTAAGGAGTTATATATAAAAACCAGAAGGAACCACCAAAAACTAGGCTTTTTCGGTTACAGGTAGGGCTTGGCTTAGGGCTTAGGGTTTAGGGTTTAGGGTTGTTTGGGGATGAGGGTGCTAGCGTTTCGGGCTCAGGGCTGCAAGGTTTTTTGGGGGAAGAGAGCCCAGAGGAGGGCATCCTACCATTAGCTCAGAAGGCCCTTGTCTCCCTTCTTCGGTGCTTGAACCCTAAATCCAAAACCCTAACCTAAACCACGTAGCAAACCCTGAACCCTAAATCCTAAAAACTTAACAACCCTACAAACCCTAAACCCTAAACCGTAAACCTTTAAGAAGTCTGAGTTTGCGGCTGGGAAGGGTTCATGCAGGCTCAGAAGTTCGAGCTCAGAGCCCAAAACATAGCCGACTCACTACGCCCCATGATCCTTCAAGCGGGAGTGTAAGGGCCTCGGATGTAGAATTTCGGTAGAGTGTACCCGAAGGCATCGTGCGACCAAACATGTTCTGCGAAAACTGGATGATTGGCAGAGCTTTGAACTTTGGTGTTGTTTATGCGTGATCGACTGTGCAAACAGCCCAAACACTGAAAGATCTTTTCGCAGTCTCAGCACTCCCATACAAACAAGACCCCCGACAAGTGCAAGATGCGAGCCACACTGCGGCGGAGCACCATCGGCACTACAAAAACGCAACAGCCAGTGACCGTAACACGAACCATACTCCAAAAAACATGCTGGTGGGAACACGTTTTTGGAACATGGATAGTATGCGTGCTGCAATTTGGCAGCAGCACAGTCTTAGGACGAGTTGTGGTGGGAAGTGGAGTCGCATTCCAAAGTCCGCAGGACACTGTGGCGAGAGCACTCTTCTTTCTGCAAAGATCCCTCTGTTTTTTTTTAATGGAGGGGGTTGCTCGACGACCCCTCACCATGGTTTTGCGGGGACTTTAGCGGCTTCGAGCATTTTGCACGCCAGAACGAGCATGGGACTTTGGCAGGAGCACGGTCTTCACCACAGAATTCGCGCGGCATTGTGAGAGAGATGGTTCGATCTGGCGGTTGGTTCATGGGCCCTTAGTACAGAAGGAGGGTATACTCTGGTTGTTTCATCCCAGTCGGACGGTTCTACTTAATGCCTACACTGGTAACTGAAACCACAGCTGTTGCTGAACCCGAAAATTAAAGCCCTGACAGTCGCGGTAATTTCAAGCCCTAAACCTGAAACTCCAAACCCGTAAACCGACAGAAGAGGCAGTTGCAGACACCATGGCTTCGATGAGAGAGGAATCGGCCAGCGAGGTGCTCTTGATACCTGCACGTAAACGGTCAGTACACCTAGAACTGCTAAGCAAAGCTACTTTTGCACAACCCCGATAACCCATACCCTGAACCGCACCCTAAAGGGGAGGCTGCCGAGTCCCATAACCCTAAACCCTAAACCCCAAACCCTAAAGTCCCATGAACCTTCAAGAAGGTTTCAGGATTTCCTGAGGTTTCCGTAACCAGGCGAGAGCTTACCAGGGCGGGTGGGAAGTTGTTCCCTTGTTTGGGATCCCTGGTAAGGCCCTTGTTGCAGCAAACTTCGCTTCAAAAAGTCTAACCACAAGTAGAGCAGTCTTCAAGTTAATATAGGGGCCGTCGTAATTCGAATGGGGTTAGTCATGCTTCTCTGCATTATTCCAGAACTCCTGGAAGCTTAAACTCGCGATGTCAAGAGGCCAACAGCTCTCATGAAGAGGGAAGCCGACGCTTGGACTCGGGTGTCCAGTACGGATGTACAAGATTCCGGTGTATAAGTTCGATCGTGAACCCTTGACGACTGTAGGAACTGTAGGGGCTAGGGCTTCAGGGTTCAAAGCTTAGGACTGTGGGTTTAAGGAGTCAGGAAAAATTCGAACTCAGAGAAGCAGACACTACAGCAAGCATATTGAAGTGTAGGTGCTTTCTTCTGGGTTTAGTGTGTTACTTGTTTGGGGGGTTCCTTATTGTAATCATAGTATAAGGTACCCCCCAACCCTATTCTAAACTGTTAAGGCCCCTACATTACCCTAGCTATTAATAAAATAAGCAACCCCCAAACCCTATTCTAAATTATTAAGGCCCCTACAATTGCCTAGCTATTATAATAATAAGCAACCCCCAAACCCTAGTCTAAATTATTCAGGCCCCTACATCACACAGGGTTGAAGGAGAGGTGGATGACCAGAGGCCTGACAGGAAGCCAAGGAGCAAGGACAGGATGTGGGTAGCTCAAGTAAGTAGGGGTCCCTTTTAGGGGTTTCGGGGTTTAGGGTTTAGGGAGGGTCCTTCTTTTAGGGTGCCGTAAGAGAATTGGGGACCCCCAGGTAGTTACTTGGAGGATCTTGGGACTTAGCAAGTGGGGTTAGAAGTACCAAAATTGAGGTCGCTTAGGGTCCTTTTTGTTTAGGGTGTCGTACTAAAATGGGGACCCAAAAAGGGACCTAATTTGGAGAAGCACCCATGTGCCACGGATATCGGTGTAAACCCCAAGCCCTAAGCCCTAAACCTGGAGCTCGGTAAAGAACAGTTCCTCTTTATATACTGAATATACTCACCAAATTTGGTTAAATTCTAGGTGTGCTCTTAGACGGCCTCGTCCGAGAGGATCGAGACTTCAAAAGCCAAAGCCTGAATCTAATCTAGGGGCTTTAGTAGTTGGAAGAGGATTTTGGGTTTAGGTGGTAGTAGTAGTAGTAGTAGTAGTAGTAGTAGTAGTAGGAGACTTTTGGGTTTTCGGTTTGATAAAGGGGGCCTTAATGTTTAGAATAGGGTTTAGGGTTCAGGGTTTGATATAGGGGCCTTAATAATTAGAATAGGGTTTGGGGGGTCCTCTCATGTATAGTCTGTATAAGGAACCCTCAAAGTAATATAGGTAATTGCTGAGGCCCTTATGTTACACCTTCACAAACTCACAGCTTTGAAAGCCCTAAAGAAGCATGGTCGGGATTCCTGCAAAACGAACAGGGGCCTGCAAAGGACTGACATGTATAAACAGATCTAGAGGTGTAGATCGCCGAGAAGTACACATAAGTACATACATACATATGTACACGTACATGCGGTAATCGTGCAAAGACGGCAGTGACTGAAACTAAACTGCTACTTGTAGCGATGAAGGAGCTGTCGTCGTGGACGTCGTCAGAATAAACCTGAACCCCTTTTGCAGCCGAGGAATGTTTTTCCTTACAGCAGAAGCAGCATATGGACATCTCGGCTTCCGTCTAACCGCGCCCCCAGGCAAGGGATTAGGCTTTCGGGCTCAGGCTGCAGTTGCAGCTACTCTAAACTAAAAGCCATGTCCTACATCCAAACAACACGACGCTCACTCTGTGACTTAGTAGGTTCGGGATATCCTAGTCTTAACTGTGAAACCCTTGCAGAATCCGAGAATCCAATCGTAGAACCCTAAACCCTAAACCGTTAGTAGCCAGAGACAGGTTTGGGGAGCCCTGCAACCGGAGGTTTTGGATTGGCTTCTTGAAGTTAAGGTCCCAAACTCAAAACAACAATATTAGTAACAGTACTTGCTGGAGCGGACCAGTAGGCTGAGAGATAGACACAAGGTGAAGGAGCAAATTCCCTTGTCCCATACTCCCCAGTACTTGCCATGGCTCACTCGATAGCGGAGGCTTTACGTGCAAGCGAACAAGCAGGTCTTTGCTACTTGGGTTTGACACCTACAACTATGGTGCATGTGTTTGGTTTAACAGTATGCTCAAGCCTCAAACTGTGCTTAGCCTAAAGAGCAACGGATAAACGAACATGTACACATGGCATGAGCTGCAAAGGTGGCGTACACTTCCGCAGTACCAGTAATAATGACGATGACAGTCACAATATTCATTCGGATCATACTTGTCTTGAGTTAAGGACCCCGAAGGTAAGGACCCTCCTGGACTAGGGTCCTCATGAAGATGGGACCATGAGTAGGTGTTACGGCCGGTTTAGGATTTAGGGTTTAGGGCCGGATTCAGAGGCTTTTGAAATGGGAGTTTGAGGATGGGCCTTGTCAAAGGTAGTCCTACAAGCTTGAGAACTAAGCTCTAAAGCCTGAGCCGCAAAAGAAGAACGGGGCGCCAAATCTTAGGAGAGACATCAACCTCAACCCTGAAGACAACCCCAGAAAGCTGAAACCCGGAGTTCCGAGCATCCTAAACTCGAATGAGTTTTTTTTTACAAGGGTCTGTAAAGTTTAGATGGGCTTCCTAGGTTGGTTGATATGTTTTGGCGTCTTGGGGTTCACGGCTTAGGTTTTGAAGTAAACCCCTGATCAATTGAGCATCAGGACCCCGGGTTTATTAACCAGAGCTCGACATTGAGCCCGTTAAATCAGTCCCTGGAGCCTGAACCTCTGAAGGTTCGAAGCACTTCTGAATCCAGAACCCTGACAACCTGTAGGTTTAAGGCTTAGGGTTTTGTAGCTTTCAAGACATCGAACCGAGAGAAGTATTGTAAAGAACAGGCAGCGAAGGAGAAGAAAAAGGAAAACTGCAGCGTAAAACAGCAGGCACTGTGTACAACCCGAAGATACCAGACGACCACGACGACGATCATGACAACCAGGACCACGATGATAACGACAACCCGGGCCACCGCAACGACCAAGACCTACATGGCCACCACCAGGTTCCCCCATGAACGAGCCCGAGAAGCTTCGCAGTGTGGCCTTGCTAGGAGTTGTGGCACTTCGGCGGTTTGAGAGCACCAGGAAAAACCCCGGTCGCCCCGACATCGGGAGTTGTAGGACCACAAGGACCAGCGCGAAAAACCGAAGAGTGTGGCTTTGCCTCTGGAAAATTTCGTTGGCAAGAATGAAGCCATTTCTTTGCAATCAGGAACCCAATGTTACCACTCCGTTTGGGGAAGTAACCGACTCGTCAGTGTAAAGGATGTCCCAAAGCAGGTTGCTTCAACATGAGCCAAAAACCAATCCCTGAAACCCAGAGACCTGCAGGCCACTTCGTCTACCGCTGTGAAGAGGGATCTTGGGCTGATCAAGTAGGTCTTCAACAAGGCCAGATGACAGGAAATCCTGAAAAACTTATTTCCTTGTTTTGCTATATGCGATCAGTTTCTCCTACCGCCTTGTCTTTGAGAAGTTAGAAGTTTGGAGGGCTGTATTCTTTAGGGTTGTAAGGATCTGGGATGTGGAGTTCCTGGTTTCTTCTAGCGGCAATAGTAGTACCAGTCGTCGTCGTAGTGGTTCTGGTGGCGGTGGTCGTCGTGGTCGTGGTGGTGAGAGTGGTAGTGGCATGTGACTGTTGCTATTGCTTTTGCTGTCGTTACTGCTGTTGCTGTAGATTGTCCGAGCTCGCTTCGCCTGCAGGAGACCAGCTTGTGCAGCTTCAGGGAATGGACGTTGGACTTTTGCTCCTTGCCGATGTTCAGATCCCCGAAGGCCTGTGCCCAGCAACGTCATACAGGACGCCGAATAAGGCTCTAAATAATAAGAGACACTGTTTCTTCGGGCGCCTGAAGGCACGCCCTCAAGCCGCTTTTCACATCCTAAACATTTTAAACCCATCTCAACCCTCAATCTGCACTCTAAAGCCTCAGCTCCAAGCCGTAAACCCTGAAGATGTCATCGACTGCAACTAAAAGACTAAAACCCTAGACCCGAAACCGCTGCGAACTCGGCCTTAAAACCATAAGCCCCAAAAAGCGGTCCCCACTTGGAGGGTCGGGGGACTTAGTAAGTCGTTACTTTACAGACTTATAAGTACCATAACCCCAATTAGAGTCCCTTTGAAGTTACTTATAAGTCTACATATTACCTAACCCTAAACCCTAAACCCTAAACCCTAAACCCTGAACCCTGAACCCTGAACCCTGAACCCTGAACCCTAAACCCTAAACCCTAACATATAAGTCCCCGATCCCCAGACGGGACCCAGTGAGGCCCCACGCCTTGCTGCGGCTGGCCCTGGAGCGACACCGCCCTCTTGAGCTCACCTTTGCTCGAGGCAGTGGTTTAAATGGTACAGTACAGTGTTAGGGTTTAGGGTTTAGGGTTTTAGGGTTTAGGGTGTTACATTACATTACATCATATCATATCTGTTATCACTATATACTGCTTTCTTTTCATACAATAACATATTGTGTTCTTGTAAAGTTCGGCTTAGGGTTTTAGACCCTAAACCCTAAACTTAGGGCTTAAGGTGGTATCAGCTTAGTCGGATTTAGGAGCCAGGCTTTTGGGGGTTCATTCAAGCTTCGGCGTGTTCGGATTTAGCGCTCCCTCGCTCTTCCGTCCTCAAGGTTATTTTGGTGTATTTTGGTAGTATGCTTTTGTGTTCGTGAGAGCCGGAAGACCTAGGGTGTCACTTCCTTCCCAGAGGGAGCTCAGGTTTGGACCTGGAGAATCGTGGGACTGAGAAAGAAATGATAAAGAAAAGTCAGAAGTACTTGAATCGGGTCTATAAGCAAGTATCTCGAAGTATAGTTGATTCCTTTGCAACCTTAGTCACTATGTCCCGTGATCCTTTAAGCCGTTGGGTGGAGTTACCATCGAAGCCAGAGACTCTCCAGCCGAAGATAGAGGCCTAACATAGTTATTACCAGTATTTCTGGGGCTCCTTCCTATGCTTATAGTACAGTATGCCCCAAAACCCTTTTTCAATTATTGAGGCCCCTGAATCAGCAGTCTAGCAAGCCCTCCAGCTTGAAGGCACCACGGATTGGACTAAGACTTGATGAGAGCACGCTTGCATTTGCGCATGCATATGTGTTTGCATATACATAATACAGAGATATATAAATAAGCGCACTTGTGTGCGTACATACATGTATGTGTATGTACATATATAACGCCTCCTATTACATTTCAAATCATGAGTTCCAGTCTCTATCTCAAACAGGACTTCTGGCCTGCGTTCAGAAAGAAAGGGCTGCCGGAGATCAACCTCTCCAGTACCAATGCCTCAGTCTTGGCAACCTAACTACTCAAACCCTAAACCGTAAACCTTACCACTGACATTACATACCATCGGACTCTCTCTGACTTCCCTCGGCTCCTATTCACACGCACGGGTGCTCCCAATTGCTTATGAAAGCAGAAGGTTGCAAGGGGCGGCTGCCCCAAGCTGTCCACAACGGTAGCCGACAATCTAAGGCAGAGTCTTGTCTCAAGGGTTCAGGCTTGTTCGAGTGTCTTTGGAGAGGACACCTTGCGCAGCTTCGGAAGTTCCCGTCGTTGAAACCATGGCCCCTTCCACCTCAAAAAACCTTGAAAACCTAAACCCTAAACCCCTAAACCCCTAAACCCTTAAACCCCTAAAACCCTGAACCTGAACTGCAGCTTTTTTGGCTCATGTAGGGGTCGGACCTGGCGAGGGCCCTTTCCCACTTTGCCCGCCATGCCTGGAGTCATTCCCTTTGAGGCCCTTGCGAAGCTGCCGGAGCCTTGCAAGCCTGAGAAGCTCGGCATGGACATGCTTCACAGCGTGTTGCTCGGCTCTGGTTTAGGGTTTAGGGTTTAGGGGTTTAGGGTTTATTTGATAAGGGAGTGGAGCTCAAGGTACCATGCATGATATAGGGACAGAGATCTCTAGAGAATCTGCCTTCCTTATTCTCATAACTTGCACTGAATCACCTGAACTGAAAACGAGGTTGGCCGTGCAGCCAGAGGAACATGCCTTGGACGAGGAGCTTTGCAATCCAGAGCCAGATCTCATCGCCGAAGGTAAGCAGTCGCCTCCGGATTCGCGCTCAAGTACCTGCATGCCACTGGCATTCGGTGAATTGGTGGATTTTGTCGATGAAGATGTGGGGACGAACTCACGTCAATCCTTCTTCTCACGATCACTGGCAGATGGCACAGACCACAGCCGTCCACCAAATCGCCTTCTGCATGACCATCACAACAGCCGCATGAAGGGTTTCTTGAAGGCCGCTTGGCGAATCTTGCGGAAGCCTCTCATGCAATCTTCAGGGCTTTATGAGAGTTTTCACAGTCAAATCTATTAGGGTCTTGCCGGGGCTTGAGGGTTTCAGGGTTTGGTGTGTTCTGGCTCAGGCTTTCCACAAGCCGCTGGTGGCAATAGGTGTTTGCTTCGGAGACGCTGAGAACTTCCCATTGAAATAGCTTAAGGCGGTACTTGTACTGAGATTGACAAATATCTACATAAATGACTACATATGTGCGTACATGTATATGCTTAGACATGTTTACATACGGGGGTTTCCAAAAATAGGGGACCCTACTATAGTACCCTAAATAATAGGATTCTTATTATAAGGACCCCAAAATAGCGTACCCTAATTGTCTGAAACTCCCATAGGAGCCATTGCAGGCCCAAATCTTCGTGTCATTAGCGTGGTGTTGTTTTCGCGAGGGTGTATTATCACTGCAAGTTACAGATTTTTGTTAATGGACCGTAGTCAATAAGATTCTGGTGAAGTCGAGTTAAGCTTTTTGGGTTTGTGGTTGCATATACATAACTTGTGGTGACATGATGTCTATGAGTATCCCATTATGTGTATCGGTGTGTATATGTAACTGTCTGTATACATAAAATGTATATTACACACACATATATACATATATACATATATACATATATATACATATATGCATACATGTATCTTCAAAGTCACCCCCTTGAAGGAGTTGAGGTTTGTTATCCATCGTCTCGTTTGGAACCCTCGGACAGGGGGTCGCATGTCCTCTCAGGTTCTGGGATTTCAGGCGGCAGCTATGCTTGTCAGGTGCCCATATACTTACTTACTTCAGGATTTAGGGTTTAAGGTTGAGGGATATAGGTTTCGTGCCCATTATCTCCTACTTGGGTTTAGGCTTTCATCTCCTATTGACGCTTCGAGCTCAGGGCCTCGCACCTCATATTGAGCCCAATAGAGGGTGCTAGGGTTTGCCAGCAATCATGTGTATGTTGGGGGAATCTGCCATCTCTTATCAGAGTTTACAGGTTTAACTTGTAGTGGTTGCCAATCAGTGATAATCATCATGTCATTTACGACTGTTATAGGGGCCTTTAATAATTAGACTAGAGGTTTGGATACTTTATATTATGATTTTAATAAGGAACCCCCAAAGCCCTATTCCAATTATTGAGGCCCCTACATTACGGGCTTTCGGGCCTGGTTGTTGAGGGTTTGCTTTCCTTGTTGTGGCTGCTAGTATTGAACTGCTAAGCAGGAACGCAGTAAAGCAGTGCTAAGCAACACAGGCTCCGGAAAGTGCAGGCCCAAAAATGCTTGAACCGTCCCTTTACTCCAGTAAAGATCGTGTTTAGGTTCGTGGGTTATCCAAGAAGGTGTTGTTGCTGCCCTTGCCGCAGCAGGAGTAGAGTTCAAGTCACAGACTGGCTAGTTGGGCTTCGCTTGAAACCTTGTTTTGCGGCTTTAAATGCTTGATGGGATAGAAAAATGAGCAAAACCTCCCAAATCCCTAAACCCTGAACTCCAAAAAAGGTCCTAGACTCTAAACCCTACAGGCCCTCTCAAGTCTGGCGCTCTTCTGAAGAAGACCCGGTTCCACGCAACTTTACTTCACTCTTAGGAGTTTGGGAGACTTCGCAAGCCATGAGGCCGTGTCCGCGTCATCCACAGACTTGGAGCAGAAAGTCCGAGTCTTCCGAGGCCCGGAGGGATTATATCATATGGGTAGTTCTCCAAACTGGGATCCCGTTTTAAGTCCCAAATACAGTACGGCACCCTTGTAAAAAGGAGGACCCGAATTTACAAAACCACCCATATAAAATAGTGTAGTGTTAAATGCAGACCTTCCCCCTCAAGCCAGGGGAGCTCCGGCAGGAAAGAACAAACAGAGAGGCCTGAATTCTCAGTAATGGTACCCGCTATGTCGGCCTGACATAATTCTGCCATTTCTGCAATGACATACCCCAGCGCCTTGTTCGAAGTGGGTCCTAGCCTGATCTTTCAGGTGGCTCCTAAAATTAGGGCTACCTTGAAGAAAGAAGACTCTTGTCATAAGAAGCCTAGTATATGGGTTTATACGTCTGGTCACCTGGTTTCTCAAGGTGATGTTACTGCTTGGAAACGCTAGCGGCGGGCGGCACAGTGTAGTTGTAGCATTCATAGTCGAAACAGAACTGACTAACTACACAGCAGACCACTGATTTGTTTTGTGTGCGAGGCGGATCGGCGGATGTGCAGAGGCAGTGGCTCTGGCGCAGATGGTGTCGTAGACCGGTTATCTAGATGCTGTCCGTGCATAAACGACCCATTTTCGAAACGCCGTGAAACACCGTGAATGCATGCATGGGCTCCCGGTCGGGGGTAAGATCCTCCTGGCATCAAGGCATCATTATAAGCTCAACACCAAGACTGAACAATACTTCGCAATTTGAGGCTTCCTTGGTATGGTTGATCAAAATTAGCTGTCCTGCCATGGAACAAACATAAATACATACATTCATTCATAGAGAGGGGCCACTGATCTTCTGAAGCTACCATACTCATCCCGTACTTCGCCCCACAAACCCAGCGGGCCTGAGATTAATTCCCAAAACCAAAACAGACAGGGGGGCCCCATGGATGCCTTTCACCAAGGCCAGATCAGCCTTAGCTTTTCTTAAACCTGGTGTTGATCTCTGTGTACTACTGGTATGGCAGTCCCCGGCACGATCGTGCAAGAGACCCAGGAGCACAAAGTCCTCTCTGACTTGTCTCCTCGGGTGGCAGGCCGTGCTCTCTCGGGCGGAGCCAACACCAGTTCTATGTGCCGCGTATACTCAAGCCTCGCATGATGGTGCGCAGGTGCGGCTGCTAGCTACTTTCACAGGCCGACTTTGTTTCTCCAATAAGTGACCGTCCTCCGTTTGTTTCCTCTCCGAGTCACAACCTCGACCACACAGAAAACGACAACCATCAACATTATCGACCCCAAATAGTGCTCTTCAGGGTATGCCATTTCAGCAACTAACGACACTTAAGTCCCTTACTCATTTCACGGACAGTGAATGCAAGAAGACTGCACTACCATCGGTCGACAGCTCGGATGATCTGTGAGGAGGCGGAGAATTTTGAGCAAATTCAACGTCTTGAGAACTACTTTGAAGTTCCCGTTGTGAACCATGTTTGTGCTTGCCTCTAAATCCGAGAGACTACATGACAGCTTCTGGTTCTTTGCAAGTGCCGGGTTCACGCAGGGTGCAGTTTCCAAGCGGTCCTGCGAAGTCAGCAGCAGGATAAGGCCCCTCATGTCTTGTCTACAAGACTAGGCCACGCTTATCTCAAGACATCGCGTTTGTGTCAAGCACGTCGCAGTTTTATCGTGATCCTTGTTTGCAGCAAAGCTGGAGGAGGCAGCAAGGGCCCTCCAATCCTAGACAGGCTGCGGGTTTACAGACTCTTTTTCTCATCCTAAACTGTTGGCGTTCCTATGTGAGCACCATCAAATCCGGAAGTCAGAGGCGCGCCAAGCGGACGTGCATACGGAACAGTAGCCCAGCAAAAAACTTTCAAGGAGACGTAGTATCCGTCATAGCAGCAGCAGCGCCACTACCAATTGGTTTCATTGCTATAGCGGTAGTTATGGTGGTGATAGCTGCAGTGCTACTGGAAGCATGTAGCGGTGGGGGGTAGTGGTAGTGTGGTAGCCGTCGTTTTGGCAGTGGTAGTAGGCATAGAAGTAGCAGCAGCATCAGCAGCAGCAGCAGCAATAGCGATTGCAGCAGTCGTAACAGTAATAGGATTAGCAGCACGTAATCCTAGTGCTTGTGGTACTCGTAGCAGTGGCATTTGAAAGTGTAGTATTCGTAGTAGTCGCAGTGGTGGTGTAGTAGCAGTAGCATGCAGTAGTAGCAGTAGCAAGCAGTAGCAGTAGCAGCAGTAGTACTCGTCGTAGAAGTAGGTGCAAGTACTACTAGTAGTACTAGCGGTACTTGCACTACAGGTAGTACTACTTGTACCAGTAGTACTAGCAGTGCTAGTAGTACTGGTAGTACCAGTAGTCCTAGTAGTATTGGTAGTACTAGCAGCACTAGTAGTTCCAGTAGTGCTAGTAGTGCTGGTAGTAGCAGCAGCACCAGTCGTAGTAGCGGCTGCGGCAGTGGCATTAGTTGCAGTAGTAGTAGTAGTAGTAGTAGTAGCAGCAGTAGTAGTAGTAGTAGTAGTAGTAGCAGCGGTCGTAGTAGTCTACTACTACTGCTACTACTACTACTACTACTACTACTACTACTACTACTACCATGATAGTACCGGCATTAGCAGCAGTTGAGGCAGCAGTGGCAGGGGCGATGGGAGTCGTAGTGGTAGTGGTAGTAGTAGTGGTATAGTGGTAGTAGTAGAAGCAGCAGTAGCAGTAGAAGCAGCAGGAGCAATGGCAGGAGAGTGTACGTTGAGGCGAACATGTTTGGCGCTCAAAACTTTGATTTGGCGGTATTTGGAAGGTGTCGGCTGCAACAAGCAGCAATATGCCACTGAAAGCCTGAAGAAGCGCTTTCAATACCTCTTTACGCTCGGCGCAGTTGCGCGGCTTGGAAAACAGGAAGGCGACACTGTGTTCCAGTTCTGACCCTCAACTGGCGGCAGCGGATTATACTAGTCGTAGACCCGCGACTCTGGCTTACTCTCCACCTTGGACCCAACAATCTTCTCTGTTGCAAGGGCTTCAGAGCTCCTACAGCCATAACCGCAAAGACCCTACTTCGGTTTTCTTGGTTTGCTATGGGCAGGGCTGCGAGTGACTTACTTCCCGCTAAGGCTGGAACTTGCAGTTGCTCAAGCAAGGAATTGCTCTACTTGCACTTGCACACACCAACTCACAGCCTTCAGCCTACGAATCAAACAGGGCTTTACTCGTAGCCTTCAGCTGTACCTTGAGAAATGCCAGTGGACCGCCTTTACGCCTTTTTTCCTACCCCGAAGCTGCCATAGCAGTTTCCGAAATGAGATGCCTTTGGTAGTACGCTCATTCCAAAGACCCCTAGAAAAGGTACACTAACTTAAGAAAATCTATCAACCCTTGGGAAAAGTCGCTCCTAATTGTCAGGGCTGCCCGCACGTTCCCAGAACTTTCAATTATGGCCGAAACCGGGGCTGCCGTACTTCAGAGTGTGAAGTTTGGATCGCTACGGGTTCAGAGCGCAGCGCACTTTCCTCCGTTGAGGCCTCAGGATTTAGATTGGGCGAGTGCTTAGGTCGGGTTTAGGGCGTGGTGTTTCGGGTTTAGAGTCATTCAGAACTTAGCCAGTTGATGAAGAAAGGGACGTTTTGCATGGATCAGATGGCCGAGGGTGCATTTAGAGTTTCGGAGTTCGAACATCGAGGCTCTAGCTGAGATGTAGGCATAGCCCCGTCCCCTATTTTGGACGATGGCAGGGATCCTAATATCAAGGCCGTGACGGAAGGGGCTTTATTCATCGGGGAGAGGTTGAAAAAAAAGAGGTCTGAATACGAAATATCGGTGCGTAATTATTACCAATACTATTTTGGGGGGTGCCTTGTTATGACTATAGTATAATATATGCCCCAAACCCCTATTTTTATCATTAAGGCCCCGACATTAGCAATGATATCCCTTGACAGTCCGGGTATGAACTAGGTCCTTACCCGAAACCATTGATTTTGCATACATCGGGCTCCATTTGATTTTTCGTGAGTGCATGGTTCGGGTTGTACTACGCGGTACTCTTCATGGAGACCCAGCAACAGGACCGCAAACCCGGGTCTACTTCTCAAGGTCCCCAGTTTAGCCCTACACCTTGTGAAAAGAACATGCAGAACACTTTTCGCGACCTTTTGCAAGTTGTATGAAGCCCTTTAAAACTCGATGAAACCTGTTTTGAGATGTGGCCAAAGTCCGTGGCGGGCATCTGTTCATAATGCGGCTGCTGACTTTAGGGTTTTTGGAGTGATGGGTGTAGAAACGACCTTAAACCCTGAACCCTAAAC